CAAGCGCTCTGCCACTCAGCCCCAGCCCCAGCCCACTCGTGTACTTTTTAACTCCCTATGGGCTCATCTTTTTTCCCCACTCTGTCCATAAAACTGTGAATTTAATTATCCCACTCTTCCATGGACCTCTGCATCTGTCTGCACTTCTGGGCCTAAGCAGTGGAAAGACAGTATGTGAAAATCCATGTTCTCCTTCCCCAGGGCTAGGCTCCTGCAGCAGCCGCTCACCTGCAGAAGACATGCCACAGGACTGTGTGGCTCTGTGGCTCACGAGGGGGACTGACAATAAAATAGAAAGCTCTCCTTATTTTCTCTGAATGTTTGGCTTTCTCATGCTTTGAACCAGACTTGGAGGCTCTCTCCAACCCCACTCCCTATTTTTGAGTTGGTTCAGTGATTCTGGAGAGGAAATTGGTATCTTATCAAGGTCTGGTGAATCTTTTTTTTTTTTTAATAGATGGATGCAATACCTTTATTTTTATGTGGTGCTGAGGATCGAACCCAGGGCCTCATACATGCTAGGCAAGCACTCTACCACTGAGCCACAACCCCAGCCACTGGTGAAACTTAGTCTTTATCCCCAATTCATCTCCTTTTTGCTTTTGAGCAAACCCTACAGGTTTTCTAGCTGGTCTAAGTCTGTGAAATCTCTCTCTCTCTCTCTGTCTCTGTAGGCACTGATGTCCATGTTCAGTTTTCTCCCCTATTCATTTGATGCCTGTTTCTTCTTGAGGTCACCCCTGAGTCTGCATACCTTAATGTGTAGCCAGTGTTTGTTGTTAGTGCAGACAAACATTGAGCTTGTGCTCAAACATCTCTAGCCAGGAAGGCTTCCAGTCTGACGAGCAGAGCTGTATGTACACAGAGGAGATGAGGAAGAGCCCAGGAAAAATGGGCCGAGGGCCTCAAGTTTGAGTACATTCCTGGGCTCACATACAAGTCATGAGCAGAGGGCGTTTTACTCATCTTCACAGTTGTCTTTGATTAGAGGCTTCTTGGTCCTCACTTCATCATGCTGGAAGATGAATTCCATGTGTAGTTAGTGTCCCATCACTGTGACAGAATGCCCCAGACAGACAGCTTGTAGGAAGGAAAGGCTTATTTGGGCTTACAGGTTTGGATGTTTCAGTTCAGGGTCAGCTGGCCTGTGGCAAGGTAGTACATCCTGGCAGAAGGGTGTGGCTGCCGGGAGCAACAAAGGGGGGCAGCCAGGGTCCCAGAGGCACACTTCAAAGGCACACTCCTAATGACCTCAGTCCTTCCCCCAGTCTCTACCAACTGAAGGTTTTGCCACCTCTCAGTAGTGCCACAGGCACATGGGCCCTTGAGACATTCAAGATTTATATTTCAGCATCTGTCTTAAAATAGAGTGATCCTCATGCTTTCCTCTTTGCGGGAGACAGTAGGTCCAGGCCCTTCAGCCTGGGTTTGGAAGCCCGCGGTCTGGCTGCACTGCTGACCCTCTGTTCACCTCCTGCTTAGGCCACATCACTCGTGTCCCACTTGGCTTTCCTATCTCTGAGCTCTGTGTGAAAGATGTCCTTCCTGTCAGGATGTCCTGTCACTTACGTCACCTCTCCAAGACCTGCCAGCGTTCAGTTCAGGCTCTTCAAGGTCTGCCTCAGCCCCCAAGTGCTGTTCTCCTGAGGTCGAAGTGACCTCAGGGTCTTTTCTGCCTGCCTGTGACCTTGAGCTTGGGAGAGCAGGATCAGGGCCAGCAGGTGACTCTGCTGTGTGCAGGGTGGGTGCGAGGTGAGGGAGCCGGAGCGCTGGTGGAGCTGGGCTCTGGAGCTCCACTTGCACCTGTTAGTGCAGGGAAAGGGACGGCCACAGGGTCTCGGTGGGAACAGGAGTTGTCGGGGAGCAGTGTACCACGCAAGTGTGAGGCTCCGCACAAACAAGTCAGAACATGGTGTGGTAGGGAAAAGCACTGCGTTTGGAACTTCAGATTTCAAATTATAACCCCAGCACGAGTGATCCTAGATAAGCACCTGACCCCATAAGCTTTGTTTCCTCAACTTCAAAATGGGAATGCTGTTTCCTTCGTTTTTTTGTTTTTTAAGTACATGACACAAGTAGGTTTTCTACAACTATTTCTCTTCTTTCTGAAGATCAGTTTTATTTCTTCCTGTGTGTCTGAGGAGGAAAAATGGCCCCCATCTTTAGGAATTCTTCAGTGGTCCCTGCTCACCCCCCGATACTGCTCACGTGGTAACAGCAAGAAAAAAATAGGGACTGATAAAATGAATCAATAAAACAGCATTGGTAAGATCCAGTTGATTTCCAAAGGAGAGTGCTATGTGTTATGTATTTGGGAAATAGTAGCTAGGCACATGGCACACGCCTGTAATCCCAGCTACTAGGGAGGCTGAGGCAGGAGGATTGTGAGTTCAAAGACTGCCTCAGCAACTTAGTGAGGCCATAAGCAACTCAGCAAGACTCTGTTTCAAAATAAAATGTAAAAAGGGCTGGGGACGTGGCTCAGTGGTTAAGCACCCTGAGTTCAATCCCTGGTACCAAAAAAAGAGAAGGGTGGAGTGGGGGATTATCTTTGCAAAACCCAGATTATTTTGTTGACAGTCTAATAAGGAAAATCATATCTGAAAATTTCATCATCAATTCAAGGTACATTTAAATTTTTTTTTTCTGTATCATCCAAACAACTTTCTACCTTTGTAATCATCAGTCCCAAGGTCTGTGTCAGATCCTAAAGGGAAGCTTGTTGGTCATCCATAGGAAGGCTGAGAGCGAAGCAGCTTGTTCCCACGTGCCATCCAGAGTGCACATCGGTGTTCAGCTCCATACCAGGCTGCGAGCGAGAGCCCCCCAGGGTGCCTTTCACCTAAGCCTGCGGAAGATAGAGGAAACAGTTTTTTCTAACAAACTGAAATGTGTTCTTGGAAAACAACTGAAGAAATTTGTGGGAGAAATTCTAGGCTGAGGCCCTAATATCCATGATTTGTTTGGGGTGTGATTGAAGTTTGTGCCCAGGGACGCGAGTTTGGACAAACGGACGGTATAGCACGGGAATTTGGAATCTTACCTGGGTCTGAACCCCTTCCCTCCTGCTTGTTGTTGGTAGCGTCTGTGTACTTCTGAAAATTTCTCATAGCCTCGGTCTCTCAGCGATAACATGGCGATAATGCCTACCTTGGCTTTTGTGAGGGTCAGTGAGTAACTGCTGCCACCATCCTGGGCATGTGGTGAGAGGTGGCTAGAGTGGGCTCTGGTGCTCACCCGAGGCTGCCTTCTTTTTAACTCACGCTCTTCTCTGGCGTGCTGGGCAACTTCAGCCAGGCAGTGTTCGCGCTGAGGAGTGACAGGAGGCATGCTGTGCCAAGGGTGCTGTCAGTAGGTGCGGAGTGGGGGGGCGGGGGGGACTGCGCTTTGTCCCTCAGAGTCGAAGCATACAAGTTTCTTTTGTTAGCAGCTGACGGTGATCTATCAGTTCTTTCCTTTAAAAGATCATTTGCAGTGGGTTTTTCTTGTGAAGAACAGTGAGATTCCCTCTCACTGGGTTTCCGCCTGCAGTGTGGCTCACACTGCGCGCGCACCCCATGATGCAGGTCTCTGAACCCTTCCTGCAGCAGGACTGAGTGCCCGCCTTGCCTTGCCGCCTCCCAGCCTGCAGCCACCGCTGCGCTCTCTGAGACCTCACGTATGTAGGTGGCCTTTGTACCGGTCACTTGATTTAGCACTACACCCTCCAGGTTCGCCCAGCTCTCGCACAGGGCGAGGTCTCCTCCTGGGCTGCGTGGTGCTGCCCTGTGTGTTCTGTCACCTGGCGTCCCCCAGGTGCTGCTGCTCCTGACTGCTGTGGGTGTGAGCCCCCTGCAGCTCCTGGGGTCTGTCTTCTAGTCCTTCCAGATAGCCTGGGAGCGGGATTGCTGAGCTGCCTGGTGGTCTTCAGAGCTGGGTCTTGCTGTGTTGCCCAGCCTGGCCACAACCGCCTGGGCGCAGGTGTCCTCCTCCCGCAGCCTGCCAAGTAGCTGGGCTCAGGCGCTTGCCCCTGCGCCCAGCCTGGCCTCCATGTTCTGAGGAAGGACCCGCTGTTTTCTGAAGAGGCCTTGCACTTGGAATCCCCCAGCAGTGCACACACACGCCAGTTCTCCATGTTCTCACCACACTGGTCTCCTGAGGGCTGTTGAGGGTGTTTGTCCTAAAAGGTGAGGTGTGAGGTGTCACCAGTGCTTAGTGATGGTAACTTAGGTTTGTTGGACCATTTCTGTCTTTGGAGAACTTTTTATTTGGCTCCTTTGCCCACTTTAAGATCTGGTATTTGGTTGGTTATGGAGCTATGGGAGACAGCTTAATCCCTTGTCAGACGCCTGCCTTGCAGACCTCTCCTCTTCCCAGCTCTAAGTTACCTTTTTACTTGTTTATAGTTTTCTTTGGCGTGCAGAAGTCCCCCCCACTTTTTTTTGTTCCGATAATGGGGCTTTACCCCAGAGATGCTTAACCACTGAGCTACATCACCAGTCCTTTTTTAATGTTTTATTTTGAGACAGGGTCTCACTAAGTTGCTTAGGGCCTTGCTAGGTTGCTGAGGCTGGCCTCGAACTTGGCGATGCTCCTGCCTCAGCTTCTTGAGCTGCTGGAATTACACTGCACCCAGCCAAAAGTTTTGGACAGTCTCTCTTGTCTGTTTTGCTTTTGATGTCTTGTCTAAGAAAGCATTACCACGTCCAGTTTCAGGTGGATTTCCCTGTATTTTCTTCCAGGAGTTCTATAGTTTCTGGTCTTAGGTTTAGATCTTTAATCTAGTCCTAAAGTGTTGTTTATACTTTGGGCGGGGAATGAGATCATATGTTCGGGAATTTGCTGTATTTAGCTTTTCTTTTTTCCCCAGTCCCTTTCTTCCTTTCCTCTTTTCCTTCCTTCCCTTCTTCCTTCCCATATAGCTTGAAGATCATGGACTCACCCACATTCATAAATGCTTTTAGTTATAGGATGACCATGAATTCCTCTTTACACTTTCTCATTTGTTCCATGGTTGGCAGGAAGAAGATGAGCCTCAAGTCGGAGCGCCGAGGAATTCATGTGGACCAGTCGGAACTCCTGTGCAAGAAGGGATGTGGCTATTACGGCAACCCTGCCTGGCAGGGCTTCTGCTCCAAGTGCTGGAGGGAGGAGTACCACCGAGCCCGGCAGAAGCAGATCCAGGAGGATTGGGAGCTGGCTGAACGGTAGGATGCCACCTATGGTGGGTTAATGGGGACAGAAGTGGGTATCAAGTCCTGTCATTGTCCAGATAGCATTTCTCTCTTGTTTTGAGCTATGTCAGCAAGTCAGCATGATGGTGGGAGAAAGGGTACTTTTCCCTTCTTTTTCTCAGCTGATGTTGAACACACTTTGTGTTGGTGTTCACTTGTGACTGTTTTGTCTTGGGGGTCATGGTTCTCACCTGGACACCCTCGCACAGGGCATGCCCTGAGCATCCTTCCCTCCCTCTTCTGGTGCATCCAGTGTGGCGTGGCAGCAGACTTCTCAATGTGTGCACCTGGGCCTTGCCTTGTGGGAATCAGGCTTTTCCTTAGGTGGGGTTTGTTAGTCTCAGGTAGTTGGTATTGTTTAGAAATATGGTGATAGTGAAAGATAAAAGGTGGAATAGCTGGTGAGCTGTCATTGAGCAGGCACAGCGGCCCAGGCCTGCAATCCGCTGCTCAGGATCCGGGGTAGGCATCAACCTGGGCAATGTAGCCAGACCCTGTCTCCAAAAAAGGAAGAAAAAACTTTAGCTGGCTATAGTGGTGCACACCTATAATCCCAATGGTTCAGGAGGCTGAGGCAGGAGGACTGCAAGTTTGAGGCCAGGCTCATCAACTTAGTGAGGGCCTGAGCAAGTCAGTGAGACCCTGTCTCAAAAAAGAACTGGGCTATGGCTCAGTGCTTAAGCACCTCTGGGTTAAATCCCTAGTACCCAAAAAGAAAAAGGTAAAAAGGCTTAAAGGATGTTAATCCCATGCCAGAACATCCTGGAAACTGTAAAACCGTCTCCACGGAAGAAGGTCCAACCAAACTGACAGCCATTGCTGTCAGTTTGTCACCTGACAACCAGTCTTGTTAAGCAGCTGCGACATCGGCTTCTGGTGAACAAGAAGAATACAGCACCTCCTGCTCCCAGTGGTTGTGGTCAGAGAAAAAGCAGAGATGCAGAACATTCATGGTCACCTTGGGTGTCCTGTTGAACTGGAGCTCTTGGGATCTGATCCCGTTTCACAGGGAAAGTAGAGGCCACTGGGCATGAATCTCCCCAGATTTCCCCCTTTCTACCTCAAAACATACTAATGTCTTTAAGTTGGCTTCTGTCTCAGAAAAAGATGAGTTCCTCTTCTGTCCTAGGACACCTTCCACCTGTGACTGCCATTTCTGTTTCTTGACTGCACGCAGTTGTGACCTGGCTTGAGATTTCCTGAGCTATGTTCCCCAGACTTACACTGGCGTCAGGGTCTTCGAGAGGGCTGGAGGAGGCAGTGCTGGCCAGACCCCTCTGGAGACTGATGACAGGAGGAGGGCACTGGAAAGTGCCAGTCTCCAGGGTCCTGGTGACACTGACACCGCTGTCTGGGGACCTACACTGAGAACCACTGTCCTGCAGCACAGAGGTCTTCAGATGCAGCTGACCTCTCGCCAGATCCGTTGCCCTTCTCTTCCCTCTCCAGCTCCCAGCATTTCCTCCCGACCTTCCTGGGTGGATCCTTATCCAGCAGCTCGGAAGTCCTCCTTGACCCCTCCTGGGCTGCCCTTGCCGCCTGCAGCTGCTTGAGCATGTTCTATATGCTCTAGCCCAGAAAAGTCTTTCGAATTTTATCTTTTGAACTCCTATTTTCCAGATCTTTATTTTCTTTCATTTCAACCTTTTGTAATATGTTTTTTTAAATGTTTTTATGGGTTCCTTTTGACATATTCATAAATGTATATAACATAATTTTTTTTGAGACGGGTTCTCGCCCAACATGGCCTCAAACTTGTGACCTTCTTGCCTCCTGAGTAACTGGCTTTTTTGAGGAAGAGGCCTCACTTGGGACTGAATCCAGGGGCACTTTACCACTGAGCTACAGGCCTAGCTCTCTTTATTTTTATTATGAGACAGGGTCTTGCTAGGTTGGCAGACTGGCCTGGCAGACTGGCCTCGAACTTGTGATCCTCCTGCTTCTCCTGCCTGAGCCTCCCAGGTTGCTAATATTATAGACATGCAGCAGTATGGCCAGCTGTAATACCCTCTTAATATTGTCTCTGTCTCTAATTTCTCTACCTCTCAAGTTGAACTGGGATACCTGCGTTTCTTTCTGATAATAACTGATAATAACTTTGGGGTTTATAGTCTTTCTCGGTTCTCTGCCACATAATGAACCCAGAAAATAGCCTTCTGAACTCACTCTGAAACAAGCCACATGGGCCTCTCGGAGTGTCCTCCATGGCCTCCGCTCATCCTTCAGAACCTGCCCCAAATGTCCCATGGTTTAGCCTCCTCAGATGCCTGCAGCATCTTTAGTTGTCCTGTCCTGGGTTCTTGTGGCCCTTGTGGCTTCGCTCTAGTTTAGGAAGCGTCCCATTCCATGGCAGTGATGCACTTACCTCTTCCTCTGTTCCAGTCTTGAACTCATTAGGGGAAAGGACCGGGCTTTGTTTCACGGGACCCTAATGCAGTTGCTGAATGAACACCACCCAGAGAGGAGGTCCCATCTGGAGTTTGTAGACGTGTATAGAACAGTTTTGTGCTGTAGCCTTCCATCAGAGACCTCAGAAGGACTATGTGTGTAGCCTGTGTTACAGATTGTCTGGATCCTCCTTGATTAGTTGAGTGATGACCTACAGATATGAGGAAAATTGGAGAATACAACATCCGTAACCCTCTCTTGAATTTCAGACTCCAGCGGGAGGAGGAAGAGGCCTTTGCCAGCAGTCAGAGCAGCCAGGGGGCCCCGTCCCTCACGTTTTCCAAATTTGAAGAGAAGAAGACCAATGAGAAGACCCGCAAGGTTACCACAGTGAAGAAATTCTTCAGTGCTTCTTCCAGAGTTGGATCAAAAAAGGGTAATTTTCTGATGCTTTCTTTCTTCTGTATCTGAGGAAGATGCAGAATGGATCTGTGATGCGTGTGGGCTCAGCTTTCTGTTTTTTATAAGCTTTTGAGAATCCGAGCCCAGATTTGAAACCAAAGTTACATTTGAGGGTCAGACTGTATGTGAAAGTAGTCCTTTCTCTGCCCAGAGGACGCAGTGTTCAGAGACACTTCTTTATGCCGCAGGAGAACAGGGGTTGAAATGTGGAGTTCTGTTTATAAAACCCTCTCCCTCCAGGGGACGTCTCTTAGGTAGTTATACTTTCTGTGTCTTTATTTGTTGGATCCTTGTTTGTTTTCCTTGATATCATGCCTTGGTGTCCGTAGCTTATTAGAAATGGCTGTTTTAAGGCTCAGAATTCATCTAAGAGAGGCTCTCTCCAAGAGCTTCTCTGAGGGATAGCTTATATCTCAAGGAAAGACATGAGGAACAAATAGGAAAAGTCTCACTTTCGGCCCTTAGGGTGCATGAAAGTAACGCATGTCAGGTGTTTTCTCGTGTATTGATTTATATATAGATGTCTGTATTCATCTTACTTTTTTTCCTTTTTGACACTAGGGATTAAACCCATGGGTACTTAACCATTGAGCCACATCCCTAGCCCTTTTTATTTTTTATTTAGAGACAAGATCTCACTAAGTTGCTGAGGCTGGCTTTGAACTCGAGATCCTCCTGCCTCAGCCTCCCGAGCTACTGGGATTACACGTATGCATCATTGCCCCGGCCTATCCTACTTCTCACGCTGTCTAACCAACAGGAGGATGTTACTAAAGTCACATTTGTTCTGCCAGGGAGTAGACTAGTTGAAGTGGCCTAGTGTGAAACAGGAGAGTCTGTTGCTAGGGCCCAGTCTTGAACCCTGGATGTGAGTGATCGAGGTCCCAGTACATTTGGAGTGGTGAGAGACCAGGAATCAGCACTGAGGCTTGCAGAGGAGTTGTTCTCTCAGCACTCCCTCTCGGTTCTCCAGTGCCACCCTGAGTACTTGGTCTTCCTAAAGGTAGGGTGATGAAAGAATAGCACCCCAAGGGCCTTTGCTGGCCTTCCAGATGTGAGGGGTGTTGCTGCTTTCTTTATCAAAGGGAAAGGTGGCCTGTAGCCAGAAATGCAGATCTTGCTGAGGCTGAGGCAGGTGGACGCAAGTTCAAAGTCTCTGTAATAGCAGGTCCTGTCTCAAACAGCAATAAATACCCACAAAGAAATGTGCACCTTTAATCTTTTTGTTCACATGATTATCATAGAGTTGTTTCCTGGTTGGCTGCCGGTTGTAGCAATTTTCTCTCTAGTTGGTAAGAAGGGAAATAATCAGTACCTGCTACAGGTTAGTAAGAGTGCGTCTGGCTCATGGCTTATTTATTTATTTGCAGAAGGTGTAATCGGGTGATTAAAAGCGTGGGCTTTGGAGTCACTCTTGGTGTTTGTCTGGCTTTGGCTTTTTTGTGTGACCTTAGACAGACTAATCTCTTTGAGTCCTAACTGTGCTGAGGGACAAATAATACTTATCAGAGCATGTGATGAGGATTAAGTGAGTCGATGTGTAAGAGCTTAGCACAGAGCCTGACACACTAAGTCTCCAATATGTGTTAGCTATTTTAAAATGCAGGTTGTTTTTCTTTTGGAATAATCTGGTGTTAAGAAGTTCAAGGGCATCAACCAAAGCCATTCCCTCCTGTTTAACTTAAATTCTGTTTCCTGCTGTGGGAAAGTCTCGTTAACTTTATAAATTTATGACATATAGTGAAATGGCATGTATTAATTACAACAGACAAAATAGTGAAAAAAAGTCATAAAATCATTTGCTCAAACTGCCTCTTTTTACAAATGGCATTATGAAAGTCCCTGAAGACTAATTTAACAAGGTTGTATAATGAATTGATATATCAAAACTTAGATATCCTAACTCCTGGTTCAAGTTTTTCCCATCATATCCCTTTACCTCAAACATGTATGTATCTTAGAAACCCAGTCTGTTCATTCACACATATACAAACAAAAAATTTTAAACATACACATACATGTATATACATTAAATGAGATTCCTTTTACTTTAGTACATAATAGTCAAGTATTTCTCCTGATTCTCCTTGGGGGTTTTTAAAAAAATTATGCCCTAAAAGCCTGTGAACAAAGGGCACAGTGGTGCATGCCTGTAATCCCAGCATCTTTGGAGGCTGAGGTGGGAGCATTGCAAGTTCAAAGCCAGCCTCAGTCATTTAGAGAGGCCCTGAGCAACTTAGCAAGACCCTGTCTCAGGGGGCTGGGGATGTGGCTCAAGCAGTAGCGCGCTCGCCTGGCATGCGTGCGGCCCAGGTTCGATCCTCAGCACCACATACAAACAATGATGTTGTGTCCACCAAAAACTGAAAAATAAATATTTAAAAAAATTCTCTCTCTCTTCTCTCTCTAAAAAAAAAAAAAGACCCTGTCTCAGAATAAAATATATAAAGATGTGGCTCAGTGGTTAAGCTGCTGGGTTCACTCCTCAATGCCAATGTATACATATACACTCTTTAAATGTTTATTATTTATTTATTTGTTTTTAGTTCTAGTTGGATACAATATCTTTATTTATTTTTATGTGGTTCTGAGGATCAAACCCACGGCCTCGCACATGCTAGGTGAGTGCTCTACCACTGAGCCACAATCCCAGCCCCCACTTTTTTTTTTTTTTTTTAATTAAAAAAGGAAAGCCTCTGAACACGGTGAATTGTTCTATGGAAAGAAGATTCGTGATTCAGCACAGAGCCTGTATTTCTGAGAGAAATGATTCCAGGAAGCTTGTATGCGAATAGCTTTAGTCTCTTTCTTCTAAGAACGTTTTCTGTCTTTGTTTATAAAGGGGAGGGTTTCTGCTGAATGTATTCATCAGCAGAAGTGCTCCTGTCTTGTTACCTGGGGGGTGGTGACGGCAGTTCTGGCCATTGGCACACATCTGCTACAGGGAATCCTGTCCATTTTGCCTGTCTTCCTTCCTTCCTCCGTTCCTCCCCACCATCCATTTCTTTCACCAGTGATTGAACCAGAGACGTTTAAGCACTAAGCCGCACATCCAGCCCTTTTTATTTATTATTTTTATTTTTTGGTGGTTCTGGGGATTGAACCCAGAGCCTTGTGCATGTGAGGCAAGCACTGTACCAACTGAGCTCTATCCCTAGCCCTGCCTTTTTATTTTTGGTAGAGGTCTTGCTAAGTTGCTTAGGGCCTCACTAAGTTGCTAAGGTTTGCTTTGAACTTGTGATCCTCCTGCCTCAGCCTCCTGAGTTGCTAGGATTGCAGACACGGACCACCATGCCTGATCCATGTTCCTTCTTTAATATGCTTGGTCTTATCTTATTTCATTATCATGAAGGTAATCTGTAACCCTAGTGGCAGTGTTAACAGACTTCTTGAGTATCAGGGAGTGATGGCTGGGAATCCTCTGGGCTAGCTCTTTACCTGTCAGTTTACGTCCATGCCTTTCTAGCCTCTCTAGGAAAGCACTGCTACTCACAGGCCGGGAGTTTCTTTCTTTTTGTATGTTAGATTTGTACTTTAGATTTTTAGCTCATCAGTTTTTCTGCTTTGTTTTTGTATGTAGAATTTTCTGATGGTAAATTCTTTGTTAGTAAAAAGAACACTGCTAGGCATGGTGGTGCACACCTGTAATCCCAGCCAAGACAGGAGAATTGCAAGCTGGAGGTTAGCCTGCAATTTAGTGAGACCCTGTCTCCTAAAGGGTTGGGGACTGCTGGGGATGTGACTCAGTGGTAGCACACCTCTGGGTTTAGCCTTAGCAAGAAGAAAAACATAGGATGCTCTTGGGTCCTTGTTTCACAGATTACTCGAGTTTGATAGGTGAGCTTCCTGATTTAGCCTGATGGGTTGTCTGTCCGTGTGTGGGGGGAGGGCTAGCCTAAGCCAAGTTCAACTTCAGCTTACTGAGTCAGGACTAGAAATCAACATTCCTGCCCTCAGAGTTTGGTTGTAGACAGAGCACAAATACCCTTCTGAGGGGTTTGAAGAGTATTTTAATATCTTGTCAGAGTTGAGCCCCCTTCAGAGAAAATGGCCCTCAAGGCTTAGTCTACTCGTGGCTGGTCAGTCCCCAGTATCTGGTGTGTGAACTAAGCTTGTGCAGGAGTCAGATAGGCTGCCATGTCAGGGTGCTTGCTTAGAAGTTTCAGATGCCCTTTTTTTTCTTGAGCTCACATGAATGTAGTCCCTGAGCAGAATCCAGAAGGCCTGATCTAAAGACAATGCTGTAGGAGGAATATCTTTTCTTTTTTAAAAAATTGAAATATCAGTCTATCCACTGAGACCTTAGATTCTAAATGCTGTTTTTCAGTAGGGTGTGCCAGGGCTTCTTGGAGAAATGACTCACCTGGAGCTGGATCCGGGAAGAACTTTGGGAACCCGTCAAAAGTTAGCTTGAAAGCATGCTTACTGCCCACTGGCCAGACCTGGTATAGTTTGAGCATCAAAATAATTCAGGACAAGAAACAGAGCAAAATTCAGTGAATAAGTTAATAACCTGCAAGTCTGTTCCACAAATAAAGTAGAAAAGTAGCTGCACAGGAAAGTCATCGGAAGCGCGGTCTAGGCGAATGTCCTCAGAGGCGCTGTCCGAGGGTGTGGGGGTTTGCTGAAGAGGAGTTTTGGAGCATGGTCTCAGATGAACTCCTCACCAGGTGTTCATTAATTCCAAATAGAGAAGCAGTGACTGTGAAACTGGGGAGGATGGGCCTCATGTGCCTCCAGGTGGACACTCAAGACCAGCACAACCCTTACAAAATACACAAGCTGAAAATCTGTAACCTGATCACAGCTGTGGAGAAGCAGCAGAGAGACCCACGTCGAGGGCATTTGATGAAATAACTGGCCTGTCCTCTTAAAAAATGTCACATTATAAAAAAAAACTGAAAAGAAGGGGCTGGAGTTGTGGCTCAGTGGTAAAGCGCTTGCCTCGCCCTTGTGAGGTACTGGGTTCTATCCTCAGCACCGCATAAAAATAAATAAATAAAAGTATTGTGTCCATCTTAAAAAAAAAAAAAAACTGATAAGAAAGTTGGGGAACGTTTCCAAGGAACGTCTTCAGGTAGCCTGAAGATAGGTAAGCACCAAGTGAAACCTGTGTCTTTGATTGGATCCTATGTCAGAGAGAAAAAAGCCCAAGACTTGTTTTGAGAACAGTCAACAAACCCGGAGCATGGATTTTAAATGAATGTGACTTTTCCCTGAATTTGATAATTATGCTGTAGTTATGTAGTTAATATTCCTAACTACAGTATAGTTATGACAGTAGTAAGTATACTGTAGTGAAGAATATTCTTGTTAGGAAATATGCTCCTAAGAGATAGAGATCATGTTTTATGGAAATCTAGTCTGAAAGGGTTTGGAAAAAATAGTGCACACAGGCATTGAGATTACTTCAGAATGAAACTTAAAAGGAACAGAACTGCGACTATCCTACAGGGAGGGAGGGAGTCACAGTGCCCTCTCAGGGTGGCTGCTCTCAGGACCAGGGCCTTCAGGCTGATGAAACCCAGGCAGCTCGTGAGTCCCAGTGCTGAATTTGGAACCAGTTTAATTCTTGATTGTTTTCAGTTCTGTCTTCAGTAACTCTGCTTGGTTGCATTTTCCTTTTTTATTCTGAGTGTTGTTTATCTTGTAAAACCACCTTTTATAATATATGACATAAAATGTCCACTTCTTCCTTGGCACCCAGGGGCTGGGTTCCACACCCTCTTGGGTGTATCCCAACCTGCCTGTGTTCAAGGACCTTAGATAGAATGGCATGGTGTTTGCATGTAACCTAGGAATATCCTCCTGTATATGTATATCATCTCTAGCTTATTTATAAAACCTAACAGAATGTAAGTGACTTGAAAATGGTCATTACTATATTGTTTAAGGAATAACTACAAGAGAAAGAAGTCGGTGGGCATCTACTTCAGTCATCACCGCCCCCAACTGCTTTCTCTCTGAGGATTAAGGACCTGTGCCTATGGAGGGACAGTTGTATTTGGAACATAAATCTTCATTGCCTAGGTAGGACTAAGAGGTTTTTTGTTGTTATTTTGTTTCTTTCTGACACCAAATATGTGATGTCTTTAATTCTCTGACATCAGTTGGTATCTGACAGTTTGATCCTGTTCTTTGAACTAACTACCCAGAATTAGCATGGACTCCACAGATTAAGGAGTCAGTCTCACAAGACTGCCCCACTTTAGCACCAATACCCACCTGGTGAGGGTTGTACCTGTATTTCTCACCTGACAGATAGGAGGCAGAGAGTGGTCCCTACAGCCTTCTTCCTCAGATTTGATCGTTTGTTATAATGACTCACGAATCTCGGGAAAACACTTCTGTTTGTCAGTTTAGTATAAAGGATACAACTCAGAAACCACCAAAGGAAGATTTGCATAGGGCAAGGTCATGGCAGGGTCTATTCCAGGCGTACCATTTTCCTTGCACATTGGTGTGTTCACCAGCCTGGAATCTGCCTGAATTTTGTCATTTAAGGCACCTTTTCTTTTTTGAGATACTGAGGATTGAACCCCAAGGCTTTGTACATGCTAGGCACTCTATCCCCAAACCTTAAAAAAAAATTTTTTTTAAGACCTGGTCTTGCTCGACTGGCTTTGAACTTGTGATCCTCCTGGCTCAGCTTCCTGAGTTTTGGGAATACAGGTGTGTGTCATGCATCTTGCCTTGTTTATATTATAAGGATTTTTATAGACGTAGCTCGATTGGCTTGTTAATTGGCCATTGGTGATTTAAAGTCTCTAGCCCCAAGGATTGGGAGGGATGTTACACTTGTACACCTTTAAG